ATTTAGTTTAGAGGAAAATCAGTGGCGTGCTGGTGGCGCTGCGAACATTCAAGATGCAAAACTAAAACCTTATTTCCATGAAAATTCAATTGTTCCTTTTTGTAACCCACTTGCGGATCTAATTTTCCACCATGGGGTGTGTCTGTCCATCCCCCATTCCCCTCCCTGAGCCTACTCCCTTGAGAATAGTGGAATGAGTGAGCACGACATTGCAAGAAGTAAAATCCAATGTATTCGTGTGATTGAATATTTTTTAGCTCAGTACTTTAAATATAACTTTGTATTAATGTATTCGTGTGATTGAATATTTTTTAGCAGAGTACTTTAAATATAACTTTGTATTATTATGTATTTCAATGTATGTTTTACTTTTTCTTTTCAATTTCTTTAACAGCAAAAAAGGCAGTCAGTCTCCTGGAAAAATCCGGATTATTAAGTGAAGGCACTGGAGTAGGAATTAGTACGTACAATACCAGTGCGATAAAGAAAATATTTAAAATTTATTTAATTAAGTTGTTTGGCTTTTTTTCACCCCAAATATATATACTAAAAATTGTTTGCTTCATTTGCAGTTAGAGAAGTCCGAAAAGCGCGTGTCGAAGAAACTATAGAGTTAGAATGCTATAAGTAAGTACTGTATTGTATCATGTATCATGTATCATGTACACGGACGAATATTTACGTGTACTACATTCTTCCACGGCCAACATGATTCCGTAAAGTTAACAGATTGCGATTGTAGAAAAGCTATTCGTAGACCCTACCTATGCCGTCCGAATGAATTTTAATACTCTCTGAATACAGAGTGATAATCGAATTATGTAGAAATGCCATTCAATACAAACGAACGAGAACCGACTGTTCAAATGACATACGATTACAGTGTGCGAATGGACCAACGATTTTCATTCTATTGAATTTGAAATGCTATCAGAATATTTACGAATATTATCCGAAGGCTTACACATTTTTTATTATGAAATTTTGTTCTAGAAATGCGCGATGGTTCTATAAAAATGTTTTTCTCTGATCGATATTCAAATGAACGTTTCTAAAACAAAATATTGCATTTATCGTACAAATAGACCGATATCCATCTTAATCAGAATATCTTATCGAGGATTAGAGTGGGTGGTGGGTGAAGGCTGATCGACTATACTATAATACGCAACTTAGAGTAATATAGGTCTGTTTGTATGACGTATCCCCTGGTGTTGATTCACTAACTAAGGGTCAGTCATACACGACATGTTGACTCATCATATAGGCCCTAACTAAAAAGTTGTAGGCCTACCAGGTAAAACATTTTAGTTCTCTAGTGACAAAAGACGCTATAAACTTTGTACTTAATGCTCATACCTTAACACAGATTTACTGTTTTTATAATTAACAATGTATCTTGCGGTCACTGTCATAACAAACATTATAAAAAATATCAATAATTTTACGACACCAATATGGTAAAGCACCAATAATGAACATAACATTGATAGCAAAACTGTAGTTTACCCTCGTTAACTTCGTTATGATATTTTTCTGTGCCTCATTTAGATGTTATATTACATATTACAACTCAGACTTTTATAATATTACCTTGCTTTTAAAAAGGATGTTTTTCTTTTTAATGCCCCGTCAATTGTCAAAACTTAATAACTCACACACACACATACACATAATTATCTGTCTCTTATACACATCTAGATGTGTATAAGAGACAGGTATATGTATATATATGTATGTATGTATGTATATATACATAAACTGTTTATATTGTTCATATTATGAAATAATAAAAATAAAAATTAGGCCTAATATTTCATCACATTTATATTATTTTTTCGTAACAATTCAAATTCAGTTTATTAATTTTCCAATGAAAATACATTTTCACAGGTTTAACGACGTCGTTCATCTATGTTTCAAGTTTGTTGATTGTATACAGTGTAATTTTCGTTGCGCTTATGGCCCTTAAACATATGCATCGTTTGACTGTCAAGAAGTTCAACCAGAAAGATGAACTGAAACGAAGGAAGGCAAAGCTGAAGGGTAATAGAGGATGAGAATCAAGGAACAATGTCTGACCATGTGACTAAGAGTCTTGAAATACAAAGACTGGTTTCCATAAAATCTCTACACGATATCACTGACAGCAGTGGCGATGCTGATTGGTCGGTCGAATCAGTTGGGAACAGCTGCTACGAAGGCAGTGAAACCTTGTAGCGGCCGTGTAGCGATTTTATGAAAACCAGGCTTAAGAGATCAATAAGGCACACGTTGACAACAACTTAAAATGAAACAAGCAGTAAAGCAATCTTAATCTATCGTAAAAAAAATACAACCAGAAATAGTTGGCTTACCTCCAAGAAGCAAAACAGAACGTCAGAATATAACGAGCTCGCATCATAACTATCATAACTACCTCGTGACAGTGAAGGCGTCACAGACAGATGGTTGATTGTTGTAAACCTGTATAACCCATATTATTAAATAAGTATTAAACGTATACGGTTTAAGTATCTTGGTAGTGTAGAATGTGACTAAACATTTTTGTGTATTCCGAAAACGAAATATTTCATATTTTGTCATTATCAATTATTATTATTATTATTATTATTATTATTATTATTATTATTATTATTATTATTATTATTATTATTATTATTATTATACATTATTATTATTATTATTATTATTATACATTATTATTATTATTATTATTATATTTTTATTGTTGTTGTTGTTGTTGTTATTATTATTATTATTTTATAATCTTTAAAAGCATAAAACGCATGAGGTCGGATCATAGACTAGCTATTGTCAACATAGAAAAATTATTATTATATATTATTATGAGGCATATTATTATTATTATCATTATTATTATCTTTATTAACATTAATATCTTTATTTATCTGTTATGCATACATTTAATATATCAATAATGTATGGAAATTATTGATATATTTAATATATCAATAATTTCCATACATTGTCACACAAACTTTTCACTTTTTCTAAAATGCTACTATGTTTTATATTTAAAAATCGTCTTGATCTATGGCGAGATATAAATAAATATCTACAAAAATAGTGTACATACTGTATACAATATTATAATATATAATATTGTATTAATAATAATAATAATAATAATAATAATAATAATAATAATAATAATAATAATAATAATAATAATAATAGGGTTTTTTTTTTTAACCATGTAAGATTTATTATTGAAAATGCAATTTTATTTAAGTATTGTTCCATTGAAACCAAATGAAATTATCTACGATTTATAAATACAATGATAATAAGAATAGTATATATGTCTTTACCTTATACTAATACCAATATCGATATCAATATACATATTTATAGTACCTACATATATATATATATACATATATATATTATATATATATACATATATATATTTTATATATATAAGATAATATTATAGAAGAACAGGAATAGTGATCATATTGTTGGAGACCGTATTATTCCCCGATAAATCAGCAATATGTAGGTAACACACATGTCCATGGTTCTAGAACACGTCCAAAGATTCTTCATAGTGATGGATTAATGTACAACATGAGACAGCAGTTCCGGTGCTAGGATAATGTCATCTTCCGTGACTCATTATCTATTCAAATAAAAAAAAAACGAGTAAAAAAAATAGTGTATAAATATAATGCAAAATTCTGCTGTATCTGTGAGTGGGTCTCGTGTTGGCATCATAAAAAGGGAACACATCAACACATAAATGAAGCCAACCTCGAGAATATGAATTGTTCATTCCTGAAGAATTACATTACTTATATTTTTTTTAAAAAGCCGAATATTCTATTGTTGACAGCCGTTGTAAAATAATGTTTTATTTGTCATAGTGTGGACGGAGCTTTAAGCACGTTTTTGAATACGCAGACACTTATATAAGTCAATAAATGTATGTGAACGTTGTGATTTTGCTTACGTGAGCAATCAGACAATACTGCTATTATTAATATTTCCCTTCCCATTTTTTGGCGTGAATCATCGAGTGTAAAATCCCTTGTGCGAACGTCGGTCATCACCAATCAAAATAGATTGAATTATAAAAAAAAAAATGTGACGAAATTGGAATCGGAAATATATTTTAATTCAAGGATTATTATGTTCTCTTTCAAATAATTATGAAAAATGTTGTCCTTGTGGTCGATTGCTATATGAAGTTGGTTTCGTACATTTAGGGTAGTTAACAAATTGAACTAAGTTAACACATTTTAACTAAGTTAACAGAAGGACCCCACTGGAAAGTTGTCTTCTTCTAGACTTTCGTGGGCTATCCTTGGTGTTTACACCGAATAAATCCAATCCAATCCATTAGATTTAGGGCTTAATGATAATAATGATGATAATATAATATTCAGTATAATTCCATTGGCTTTGTAAAATGACATTTTGATAGAAATATTATAGCGGTTGACTATGGAAAAATAGAAGTTTATTATATATGAAATATAAACACAAGATAGCAGACAAAAACTATACCCCGCCGGAGACAGAATCTCGGTATTTATATTAAATCAAGTTTAGTTGGGGAGGGGTGAAACTTGCTCTAATAGCTAGCTGATGGATAAAATGAAAAAATTGATACACTGGCTGTAGCCAGATGTCGTTTTGGTTTATTTTTTTTATATATATTTGGGAAATTTCAATAAATCAATTGCAATTGTTTCAATGCAATATTCGTTAATTATTTTGTTATTATGATGCCTTTTAAACACGATTTCCATCGTTGCGTACAAACAAAACCTTGAAAATAAATGACAACAAGAATAACCAAAACAATAATCTTCGTCAGATTATTTAGGGTGACCTTTAAGTCATCGTTAATATTTAATTAAATATAGTTCTGTGGCTGTCGACATACTTCCCGTGAGATACACCCATGCACTTACGTCAGTATATTAAAAACACGTTAAATATAAGTGGAACACCCGGAACCTAGTTTTAAAAAGAACGCCAACAACGAACAACGGAATCAACTTTTATTAGCCTGTCACTTGTCCATTACTGTACAACACGAAATCTCTGGAGTTAAACGCAAATTTCGTGCAGACTTTGGCTGTAAATACACTCATCATACATCAGTTGTTATATTTTTTAGACGCACCAAAAATGAGGGTTTTATGTTACCTAGCACTTTTAGGGTTACCGATTGTCTTCGCTTCACCTACTAGGACGCGTAGGGACGACGATGACGATGATGAAAACTTTGCTGTGAATTACAGGAGAAAATATGGAGGTAGGCTAAAATAAGCAATTTATTTTTTGCATTTAATAAACTTAAAATTATTTTTATTTAGATAACGCTTATTAGGTCTATAATGCTCATTTTATAGGCCGTGTAACACTTTACGATTCAAATAAAATTGAGAAATTTAAGATAAAAGAAAGATACATGCATTTAACGTATATTTCTAAGCTTTTAAAACTTTACGACTAGCTATTGTTAATCTCTGCATATTTATTAACATTACCAGTAGGCAGAGTCGTTTCAGCTTGGTATTACTATTTCGTATTGTGGTGCAACCACACGGATGTATAACAGCTTAATAAAAAAAAAATTACTGGATTTAATATTTCGCTTCCCTTTATAATTATATGAAACTATGATTCATTCTTTAGACCTAAACTAAATTCACTTCACTCCATGCACTCGTCAACTTCATAGACAGCATTGCACACAGCATTTTATAATCCAATAAGTCACTCCATAATTTGACACAATACAATGAAAATTGTAAGCTAAAAAGGCTGAAAATAAATATAATAGATATACACTAGTCGGTTTGTTGTAATTTTTAAAATTGTATGTTAAACTATTTTTGCAAATAAAAATCCAATCCCCATTAAATAATTTAAACATTAGTCCTAACACAGTATGTTCATTTTCATTGTAGTCAAAGGAAATGCATTAGGCCTATGCGTAGGCATTTTAGTCTTAAAATCCTTTGATAAACGTCGTTTTCAATACATAACACTTTGACTAAAAAAAAATAAAGAATAATATTAGTGGATAAGGTCGTTGGGGTTACTCTAAGTAAGTCTATGCAAACTTCAAATCTATTGATTTACAAACGAAAGTACTGCATAACAGATAGTTAGAGAACTAGCCAAAAGTACTCACTTTATACGTTATATTACATACGATACATTACCAAAATTATACTGTATTTTATAAATTACTATATATCTTGATGTATTATGATAATTGTATCTTGTTACTGTCTGTTTGGAATGTTTCTTTTAAGTATTTCAGTTGCCATTTTAATGTATGTATTTTATCTATATGGAACAAACATTTTTTTTTTATTTTAATGACTTAACATGTACTCAATGATATTTCCATGATGATGATAATAATAATAATAATAATAATAATAATAATAATAATAATAATAATAATAATAATAATAATTTATTGACTCTGTACAGACACTATTTACATCAGCGGCACCCAAGTGGTGCGTCAATCAAGAGAAATTACTTAAATGAAAACAAACAACTTAACTAGAAAAAAATACATTAAAACATGCATACACATGCACCTGTACATACAAAGTGTGCATATATAGATTTAAATTACTTAATTTAAAAAAGAATAAAACAAAAACAAAAACCAGATAAGGCTGTCGCCCTGCATTGTAAGTCAGTATGCCGCACCACAGACACAAGCTCCCGCGAGCTCCCACTATCACGTGGATGAGCCACCACCGGGCCAAGAAAGCATATTGGACAATTACAATTGAATCTGAATCTGATATCCATAACAGAAAAAACACACTGGCCTACTTTCATTCAATTACTGTGTAATATAATATTATTTATATATCTCCTCGTCATAGAGAATGTTCATACAATTCAAGATTATTATATTAACTAAAAGTGTTTGATATATCATCTTCAACTTTTCAAGAACTTTATTTTTTAAAACAGACGTGTCTTCACCTGTTTATAACAGTCAATTGGAGTATCATCTGGAAATGGAGAAGGCAGACCATTTAACGTCATCAGCTCAAAATAAGCAACGAAAAAAGAAAAAGGGTCGTAAACAGAGAAGAAAAAAGGGCAAAGGCACAAACAATGCACAGAAATTACAAACTTTAAATTCACCACCAAAAATATATTATGACGATTCAGAGGAAAGAGGCAACAATCAGAATTATCAGAGTGGACAATATCAGCGTCTGCAAGAATTGAATCCAAATGGGGACAGTAGCGAAGAACAAACTGGGCAACGATTGGTAGGTTCCTACAGTACTGGTACCGCCGGTGCCGGTAATAAGTTAACAGTAGATACTGTGGTTGAAGGTACTACCGGAGGAGACATTAGCGAAGAAGAAACCAAGATGACGGCAGCAAATACAAGAGATCCACAACCAGTTGTTGTGGGTACTACCGGAGGAGACAGTAGCGAAGAAGAAACCAAGATGACGGCATCAAATACAAGAGATCCACAACCAGTTGTTGTAGGTACTACCGGAGGAGACAGTAGCGGAGAAGAAACCGATATCACTGCAATAAATATAGGTGAGCCACGACCAGTTGTTACGGGTTCCGGTGTTGTTACGGGTTCCGGTGGACGAGACACTAGTGAAGAAGAAACCAAAATTGTTGCCGGAAATGTAGGTGACGCACAACCATTTGTTGCAGGTATCACTATTGAAGACAATAGTAAAGAGGAATCAGGAGTTACTATTATAAATAATATAGGTGACGCACAACCAGATGCTGAAGGCATCACTGGAGGAGACAGTAGCTTAGAAAGCACAGAAATAGGTGTCGCAAAACCAGTTGTTAAAGGAGGCTCAGCTGATAAACACAATGAAGAAAATTATCCAATTCGAGCTACACCTCTAGTAACTCGCCCGTCTACTACAACTGCTGGACCTTCTTTAACATCAGCTTCGGCTGCAGAGGTCATTACGGAGAAACTGCCTCCATTCCCTGAAAAAATCAATCAACCAGATGAGTCAAAGCAAGTGACACCTACGATAGGTAAGAATAATTGTTCTCTTAATTGCCCCCTCTATTGTTACTATTCCTGTTAAACGTTATTCTATTCTTGATTAATTTTGTCGATTTGTCGAGTAGTACTAGTTTATGTATATTAGTAGTATAATTTTGATAGTAGATATTAACATGTTTATGAACAATCACATGCTTTTTTATTCCAGCTACTGGTCCAATTGTAACTACTTGTGAATGTTATGGCAATATCAACAGATTGTCAATTATCTGCGACTTTTTTAGTAATGCAACCGAAGCTAACACGTATGTAAAACCTTCTTCTTATTATTATTCTTCTCCTTCTCCTTCTCCTTCTCCTTCTCCTTCTCCTTCTCCTTCTCCTTCTTCTTTTCCTTCTCCTTCTCCTTCTTCTTCTTCTTTTTCTTATTATTATTATTATTATTATTATTATTATTATTATTATTATTATTATTATTATCATTATTATTACTATTATTATGTAAAAATGCCTTGCTAAAGACACAGTGATCTTTAAGAGTCCTCAATAAAGAGAGCCCGAATTGCGGTGGCTTCGCAAACCGCTTCCACATCTGTGTAGAATCATAATAATAAATATAATAAATTGCATTTAGTGCACTACAGGCTGAATCAACAAATCCAAATATTGCCTTCTGTTGTGAAGAAGAAACACTGCCCCCAATCGGCAAACTACGATGCCTTCAACAGCGAAATGAGGAAATTCCAGGTAAGTTTATATTTTTACATACCATGGTATGACGATAATAATGGCATTCATGACTTCTCTAATCTCCTGTTGTCGCGTGGTATGCTGCATATTGACTGCAAGAGGAAATATTAAAATTTGTGTTTGGAATTTATATTGCTCAAATAAAACAAAAAAAATTTTTATGTAATAAATATAGTTATGTATGACATTATTATATATTATTTATCAATCAATAACGAAAAAGAAAATGCGTTTGTTCTTCCCTCTATCCACCCACTAAACCTATTTGATTTCACGACATAAATTAAGATTTTACCACTCCATGTGCTTTTGTCTTACAATTAGTGCTTACTCTGCCATATCTGAGAGTGCTACCGTCATTGACTGCTGTACTGTAGGTAAATATAACTTCAATCAAGCGTTAGAATGCCTAAGGGACGAATCGACAAAGGATTCTGCTAATTATGGATCAGGTAAAAAAGCTGGATTCTTTTTTCGAATTTTGATTTAAGCCCAAGGCTTTCCACGTGTCATATTGTGCTAGTATTCTACTTGCCAAAACATAATATTATAAATAGTATACATATTGCTATACATAATATAAAATCCAATACGCTGAATAATAAACCCTCAAATTTATGTATCCAAATATGTTCATATCGGTATATACGTATTATTATGTCAAAATTCTTGGGAAATTTGAAAGCATTTGATCACATAAATATTGGACCTTGGGAACGCTATCCTACGTTAAAAAACTGTACATTGATTCATTTAAATAATAGGTGATATGAGTTAACAATTATGCTAGCCGTTAATTTCATTCTTTGGATTAAAAGTGTGGTTGTAACAGTTAATTCACTGGTCCAAAATACAATTTTTGTTTGTTTTTTGGGGGGACTTGAGGAAATATATTCTGTGCTTAACTTGAATCGTACACATACTGTTACTGAGCAGTTATGTAGTAAACATTATTTTTCATAATATTGTCACAGATACTAAGGAACTACCGACGGATTCACCATATGCATGTGGATGCTCGTACGAATACAAGTCAAACGATATGTAAGTTCTCCAACTTCTGTAGGCCTAGTTCTTGAATTCTGGAATAAAGACGACTTTGTCTGATCATGTTGCAATGCTACATTAGTCCGTCACACAATATCTAGACAATAAAGAATTAAAGATCAATTGAAAATCTTTTAGTTTCATACAGTTCCAACGGTGTTCTGAATACAGTGACATTGATGAATATGTTCACATTGACGAATTTGAATTGGAATGTTTTATTTGCAGATTCTACAAATGCAGTTTCAAAGGCGAATACAAATTTGGAGAAAATGACTTTCTGTAAGTTGTAATAAAACTACTAATTTATTAATAAATGTATTGGAGTTATTTGGGGCTTGGTGTCTGTTATATAGCTTTATATCATTTGATGTTTAATATTAAAAACAAAAAATAAGTCACTGTTAAATCATTTCCCTAACTATTTTTAAACTGGGCCTACTAAATGGAATATTCAAACATTCTATATTTTTACTTCTATCCAGAAAATCTATCAAGTAATCCTATATTAATGTCGTATTTTCTTTTTAGTGAATTCGAAGTTGTATCAAGAGACCCTATGATTCAAAGATGCTGTAGCTTAGACAAAAATTTTAAGGAGTCTGTTGAATGCTTAAGATGGGTGCGCAACCAGACAGGTAAATAATGTGCATAATATTAACAATAATACCAATGGTAATAACAATGAAATTAATAATAAGAAATTCATAGTAACAAAAATTACAACAATGTAAATTTTTACGAACTACAATAAAACGAACTATAATACATTTTTTTACATACGAAGGACTTTTAACAATGTGTACATTATTATTGCATTTTCTATTTAGATTTTGAAGATGCAACTGTTTCACCGATTAATGGAGGTAAGATATTTCGTGTCATTAAAATCATGAGGTATTCTGTCATAGGCCTATAATTACCAAATACGTTTCATTTTATTTATTCAGACAAGTGACTTAAGGGCCCCAAAGTAACAAAGTAACCATGACAAAAGTCAGGACCTCCAGTAAACTAAACTTAACTACATGCATAGCTATAATATAAAAATATAAGCTCAAAGACGTGAAAAAGGTGAAAGACCAAGAGGAATATATATGATATATCAATATTATTATTAGAATTAATAATATTTTCATGGAACAAATTATTTTACCATTCAAAAAAAAATATACAAATAAATATTTTTTTTTTCTAACATGATTTTGCAGGAAATTCTGTCACACAATTTTCAAGGAATTTTATAGATCAGTATACTTGCGATTGCAACCCAAAACAGCTCGGAGGGTAAGTGTATCATAGTAGAGTGGTAAATTGGTTAACGCAGTGGCGCCGCAGCCTACAGTCTTAAACCAAGCGCATGATTTGATTAGTAGAACTAAGTCTTTCTTATCATCATCATCATCATCATCATCATCGTTTACTACTATTATTACTACTACTATTACTATTGTTATTATTATTATTAGTAGTAGTCGTAGTAGTAGTAGTAGTAGTAGTAGTGGTAGTGGTAGTAGTAGTGGTAGTGGTAGTGGTAGTGGTAGTGGTAGTGGTAGTGGTAGTGGTAGTGGCAGTGGCAGTGGCAGTGGCAGTAGTACACATTATTATTCTTGTATTATAATCTGTAAAGCATAAAACGCATGATGTCGGAACATAGTGTAGCTAGTGCCAGCATAGAAAACGAACCTTGCATTGTTATTTTTGTGTCAATTATTTTCAGAGAGAATTACTACGAATGTGTATTTTTTAGTGATTTCGGGACGGTTAAATAGTAAGTTCAATATAACTATAATATAATATGATTTTGTAATGATTCAATATAAGTAAAATTTACTGTATATAATTCCTAGAAAAGCAACTTATAATTGCAATTTAGTCTTAATAGTTGTGCCTTTTTATAGGCAAAATACAGTAGGCCTATAATGTTCTCACTTAATATAATGGTCATCATAACAAAATCAATTACACAGTTGCACATTAATATCAGCGTTTAAATAAGCTTAACCAATCCAATAAATGACTTTCGTATTTTGATTCCGCAGCAACTTTACCAAAACTTCATCTTCGAGTGACATAGTATTCTGCTGTAGCACTATAGAGTACACTGAACAAGGAGTTAATGATCGGGTTGAATGTTTGAGAGAAAAGGAAGATTTTATACCTTCAGGTAAACGAGTAATCTGTCACAAAAAATATTAAAGGTATTAAGACAAACATTTTGGTGCACTCGTGCACTGGGGTTGTTAAATATTATTATAAGATTATAATAAGATCCCAGTTCAAATGCTTGCCAAGACTGCGCAATAAACTTCAAAATTAGAATGGTTTCACATATAATTAATATTATATAATAATAAATCTGATCGGGTTGAATGTTTGGGAGAAAAAGAAGTTATACCCGCATGTAAACGAGTAATCTGTCACAAAAATATTCTAAGTATTATAACAAACATTTCGGTCCACCGGGGTTGATAATAGTACTATAAGATCACAGTTCACAAACTTGTCAAGACTGCGCAATAAACTTCAAAATTAGAATGGTTTCACATATAATTAATGTTATATAATAATAAATCTGTCTATTTTCATTCCTCATAACTGTCACTTTCGTCCCCTTGTCAATACTGTCATCACAATGAATCCAGAAAAATTTATTACCATTATATGAAATTTATACAAACATTTTATTGTGTTCTAAATGTTACCTTTGTTTGTCGCTTACAGACCTTTATAATTGCGTTAAATCTGTTTTTTGTTGTTCTGATTGTGTTAGAGCAATTAGGTGGAAACATAGATCCAGCAAGAATTGTACTAACATACAGTGGCGATCATACCAATAGCTTAGATGACTCTACAATCCACGAACAAGTTGATGGACAAGCTGGTGAAGCTAATGTTGTATCAGTGACTAAAAGTGTGCCAGTGTCAGGCTCAGGTAATGCATCCTCAATAAATGGTGTGCCAGAAACAGACGAGGCGTCCGGGACAGGTGGTGCATCATCAACAGGTGGTCCGTCAGGGAGTAGTGGTGTGTCAGGGACTGAAGGTGTGTCAGGGACTGAAGGTGCATCGGCAACAGGTGGTGTGTCAAAGACTGGAGATGCATCAGCAACAGGTGGTGTGTTAGGCATAAGCGGTTTGTCAGGAACTGGAGGTGCATTGGCAACAGGTAGTGTGTCAGGGAGAAGTGGTGTAGTAGGCACTGGAGGGGCATCAGCAACAGGTGTTGTGTAAACAAAATATGTTATATTCCTGTCTCTTATACACATCTAGATGTGTATAAGAGACAGTATATATATAATGTTAATTATTGCTATTGTTATTAAAATTATATTGATATTATTATCATTATAATTATTTTATATTATCATAGCTATCTTATTTTCCCCCTTTTACTATAGGATATATGTGTGCGAGTTCTTCAGATACGTCGATGGCCAAGAAGAGTAAGAAAGCATATATTATTTGTTTCTGATGATTATGATGTTGATATTAATGACAAAGGTCAATACGATGGTCATGATGATACAAATAACAATCGTAATATTTATTAATTACTACTGTATTATGTCATTAACAGAGGTAGGCCTATAATAATTATCAAAAAGATCGTCATCAATGTAAACCCGCTATACAAATTGTTTAAAATATTTATTTTGCAGTACCAGTTTCTTTAATTCAACCGCGTATGACATATTAAAGTGTTGTCAACAGCAAACGCTGTCTCATGAAGAGAAACTACAGTGCTTCCAATCTCACACAGGTATATGTCTGCACACAATCATCAATAGTTGATTAATATTTTGCTGAGGTATATTTTTTTCAATGCTACCGTGCCTTAACAGCCACGTTCACATTTGCATATTTTTCAGAATAAATAATTAAATTGTTTTGCTGTTTCTCCATTAACACTTCTTATTTTCCTACCTACTTTCTAAAACTCTTTATTATTGGTTACTCTTCCCCCAGCTAAAACAAATAAGTCTCAAGTCATTAAATTACTTTTATATATTTTTGTTTTACTAATTACTACTATTTTATCATTATTTCGGTATGCAGCAATTTACAATGCTGAGTCATTACAACACTGTCATACAATACCTAATCCTATTTCAGGGGCTGCTGAGACTTCTGGCCCGATAGACGGCATACGAACTGTATCTGGAACAAGCTCTGCTGGGGCTGGTGCTGGTGCTGGTGTAGGTGTAGGGTTCCAGATGTCCTATAGATGTAATTGTGAATTCATGAACAATCAGTAAGAATATCCAGAAAAAAAAGAATCCTTCGTAGCTGTATTATTCATTTAAGATTGTAAAACCAGAGAGCAGCTTAGCTCAGTCGGCAAAACTGGTGGTAGCCACTGTGTGTGCGCTGAACCATGGAGATCGCTAGATCCCCTGTTCAATTCCCATCGCTGCCTGTCCTTGTGTTTCAATAGCGCACCGTTTTTAGTACTTTTGGAGAGAATTTGTTGTCGTCTGAGAAAACATAGGCATTGTAGGCTATCATAATATCTCAATGTCATATTATTTTTATTATATTATTTTTGTATAAGCATTTCTATTATTGATATTTGCTTATATATAAATTGTATTGTTTTGTAGGTATTATGAGTGTGTGCTCTCTACAGCATCTTCAACTACTAGACAGTAAGTTAACTTAACAATTACGACAATATGAAAATTACTGTAAAATTAATGTGAACACGCTCTCACAATATCCGGATTTGAAAATTAGGCTATTGTAATTCATAAAGTTGCCGCTTCAGTGGTTTATATATTTTTAAACAAAATATGTTATATTCCGTTTAATTTAATAATTCAATTTAACATTTTATTCTCAGTCAAATGTCCATAATCAATTGCATCGTAATTTAAGGAAGTATTCACACAAAGGACCACCAACTCAACGACAGCATAATATGCTGTTACTTACCATGTAGTTTCCAGAAAATGATAGATATTGTGTTGGCCTAAATATTTGTGAATGACATTCAAAATGACAGTTTTTAATTCTCATTATATAGAAATTATACTAAGAAAAGTTCATCAACTGAAATCAATCAGTGTTGCGGGGAGCAATATGTTCTATCAAGTTTCGAGGACAGAATTAGTTGTTTTTCATCGTTCGATTCTTGTGAGTTTTACTGTTTGTTACTTTAATTGTTTCAGAATTGTTCTATGAGAAAGAGTTACTCTTAATAAATTAAAATTGAAGATTGATTGATATTAAGAACATATTAAATCTGACAAATATATCACGGTTGCATAGAAACGTCTGTTTATAACAGTTGTACTCTTAACCATACACTTTTTAAAGGGGTCCCAAGTGGCGAAGACTTTGGCCATGGTGATGGAAGTAGGCCTACTACCGGTGTCACCAGTGGCCTAGGTGATAGTCATAGTGCTGGAAGTAGTGCTGATGCTAAAAGTGGTGTAGGCATTGGTCTTGGTGCTGAGAATCGTTTGAACATACTGACCAAACCACAAACTTCAGCAGCTGGTATGGGACTCGTCGGCACATTTCAGACGACAGTGTGTACTTGCCAAGCTGATATAACTGATCAACAGACGTGAGCTTTCTATTTTAATCGTCAAATAAATAAATGAAATAAAATGAAGCCTTTAAAAATATTAGTTTTGTGAGACACAATAACTACATTTGACATAGGGCTAGGCTTAGCTGACTTATTCTTCCATTACAGTTCCTCCAACTTTCACATTGTTCAATAATTGGGGAGGTATTATTTATCTACTTTATAAGTACATTTCTTTCAGAGAATCTATAAAGAGTGTTTTTACCTTGATTATGTTAGGATTTTTTTTATAGTGAGGGATAAAGAACGTTTTATTACCTTGGTGCTCAGCCATTATGTATCCAATAAAATACTTTTCTAAATATTTTTATTTTACATTACAGCACGTATTCTTGTGTTTATAAAACTGGTGATGGTGTTGAAGAAAGGTAAGTATATAATGGTGTATATGTTTTCCATAACATAATAATTATTGTCTATTGTATTATGCCATAGTTTAACAAACATTATATTTTATATATTTATAGTCAGTTTTTATCAATATCAACTGACAGCCGTATAAACCAATGTTGCACTGAAGCCAGAGATAATGTTCTTGCGTGTATGAATATATATGACGGAATTGGAATTAGCACAGGTGGATCTAGTGCAATTGTATCTGGTGCTGGTGCATCTCGTAAAACTTCTGCTGGTGCAGGTGTCGTTGGAACAAGTGTTTCTGGTCCAAGTGCATCTACATCAGGTGTGTCTGGCTCGGGTGTATCTGGTGCAACAGCCGGTATTTCAACAGTAGGCCTATCTGGAACTGTAGACAGTCAAGTGAACAAGTATACATTTGGAAATGGTTTTGATCTCCAAAGAAATCGAAGTCTCTTCTCAAGTGAGCATTCAGAAGCGCACCAATGTAACTGTCGAAGCCTTTTAGTTAACACCGAACGGTAACTATATTTGGGTTTAGAATTGTTACCTGGTATATAATCAATGTTCTCAATAGAAATGTTGTTTTATTTATAACACATATCATCAGTGAGCCGTGCTGTTGTCACAGTTGTGGTTCAACTAACATTTCGAGGTTCGAATCACGCGTTCATGGAAAAACCGTTTTAAAGATTATAATAATAATTTATACTGTATATAATTCTATATTGTCATTGGTTTCAGGATGTACAAATGCAACATCACCTATAAAATTGACAGCCAAGCAACGTAAGTATACTCATAATATAAACTACAAAATATTACAATCAATATAACTGATACCTAAACTGAGAGCAAACTGTAATGGGCCAATACTGTCAATGCCTATAATTTGTAGGAAAAAAATTTGATTTAGTGACATGTTTGCAGCTAAACGTGTTTAGGCTTACACTTAATGTGCTTAGGATCTTGCTGTGTTTAACATTAAAAGTGTTTAGATATAGGCCTATCATAGTGCTTGTGCTAATAATGTTGTTGATTTGTTTAGAACGATTGAGGTCAACTCTTCTTCGGCTGAAATATTCAAGTGTTGTGATGCAGTACTTCCAATAGACGTCAGAGTGTCATGTCTTCGTTTATTTCAAAATATGGATACAAACACCTTCGGCGTTACCGGTTAGTACTTTAATTTTAATTATGAACTTCGTTCAAACCAATACAAAGAACGCTCATTTTATTTTAATTGATCTTAAACCTTAGTAGTAAACACATTTAATTAAAATTGGAAATGTAGGTCTATGTAAATATGTATAAACATCAATATTTATATATAATTTCTAAATTTTGATATAAATATCTATTATTTACAAATAGCGGTTTTTTTGTTTTGTTTTATAGATAATACAGAGCGAATACATGGTTATTTAAATGACCACGTTGGTGTAAGTGAATCTACAGTGGCAACTGATGTCACCATGCTAGTACCATCTGAAAGGGCTGTAAAGGTAAAACCATTATGGGTGTGTTTTCGTTACCCAATTGATTTTATATGATTTATCAATTAATTACGTATTACGCAATACCAATTAATATTCAAGCTTTGCTATATATCTCAGTTGGTAGAGCAATCAAACGATGGTCAGTTAATTTCCAATTTAAATCCGATTTATAAGATATAGAATTGTATTGTATGCTTTAATAAACATGTTGATACTTTACTTCCAGGAATGGCTACAGCAACTACCAAATGGAAATATCAATAAAATTACAGCCAGGCAAGTTATAAAAGGAGGGCGCTATTCGGCCGAAGATTTTGCCAAAAATGTTTCCTTACCAGAGGTAGGCTATATAAAAGGGCCAATTGCGAAGCGCTCATGCTCGTGTTTGTTGCATCTTCAAATTTAAAACAAAAAAGATATTTTTTTTTATTTTTTTTTATTTTATTCGTGTAATATGTGTTCATATTTAATCCAACATTTATAAATTTAAATGACATTATTTTCAATTGATGATGAATCGAAAGTAAGTGCATATACAATGTTTACCTAATTATTTTGTCAGCTATATAATACTATCCAATTGATGGAACAGACATGTGCAGTTATAGTAAAATCAAGTGAAACAAATGAGGGTGTGCTGCATACACTGAACAAAGTAAGTATCGACCTGTTGAAGAATATTTTATATATATATATAATATATGTGCACAATTCATGGTGATTTTCAGCCCAATGTTAAGAGGCTTTTATAACTTGGAAAGCAATGAAGAAATGTAGGCTACTAAATTGGCTGAATTATAATAATAATAATAATAATAATAATAATAATTATTATTATTATTATTATTATTATTATTATTATTATTATTATTATTATTATTATTATTATTATTATTATCAATATCATTATCATATTTAGTATTATTATTATTTATTACTATTCATTAGTTGAATTAGCTTTTGCTTCAAGAAAGTTTTATTTAAATGCCTGTAAACTAATAACGCAAAACGTTTGCATTAACAGGTTTTGGACCCCCCACACTCAACAGTTTACGACGTCATCATGAATGATGACCGATTCTCAATCTTAGCGAGTATTATAAACCGATTTGACAGCACCAAAGCAATTATACATGGTGACGATTTTACGTTATTAGCTCCAACTGATGACGCTTTTGCAAACGTTGAAGACCTAGAGAGTCTGATTGAAGAAGACATAAAAGAATTCATTCTCTACCATATTATTGAAAGTAAGTTGTGATTTTTTATTATTATTATTATTATTATTATTATTATTATTATTATTATTATTATTATTATTATTATTATTATTATCATCATCATCCTTGTATACCAATAATATAT